CCTCCTCCCCCCATCCTCCTCCTTCTTGTCCTCCTCCCCTCCTCTTCCTTCTCCCCCTCCTCCTCCTCCTCCCCTCCTCCTCCTTCTCCTCATCCTCCTCCTCCTTCTCCCCCTCCTCCTCTTCCTCCTCCTCCTCCTCCTTCTTCCTCTTCTATCTTCCTCCTCCTCCTCCTCCTTCTCTTTCTTCTTCATGCCTGACTTCCAGGATTGTACCACATCAGGAGGAACACGGTAAGAGGAGGGAAGCACAGGGAATCAGGATGGTGTCAGCCCCTGCGGGCCCAGGACTGTGGTTTGGGGCACTGCAGCGCACCTGCAAGGGCCACTCTGCGTAAACAGGCACCGTGGGAAATGGCTTTCGTATCTGCGACCTGAAAAGCTCCATGTGTGTGGCCCATGCGCTGCGATCCGAGCCGTAGCCCCCCTCCACCGTTGTTTCAAAGCCTGAACCCCATGTCCCCACACCTCCAGAGACTCCTGTGCAGCTCAGAGGAGGGAGCTACGTGTTCACCACGGCAAATCTGGACAGCCGCAGCCTGACCATATTTCACCTTTATGCCTGCTGAGCTTCCTTCTGCTTTCAGAATGGGGAAATTCAGACATCAATGTGAACTTTCCAAGAAGTTTCAGTTCCGTTTCTTAGACCGAGAGGAGGCACATGGGTAGGTTTTGCCCAGATGATGACGGGTAGGCAATAGGCAGGCAAGGTGGCCGACACCACTGCTCCCCAGCAAGGCTACGGCCGCGTGCTCTGGGCCTTCCCTGGAGAGGCAGTCCTGCCTCCTTCCCTCTCATTCAACCCGTTCCTATTGCTAGGCATGAACTTTCAACCAAGGCTTTGCCATCTCTTCATTATAAGGCGGCTCTTACAGAGAAACTGCATTAAAAATGTGAAACTGCCCACCAATGACACGACCATGCAAACTCAATTCTATAAAAAATATTCTGTTTAATTGATTTTCTAAAAAAATCTATTTTGTTTCTGTGAGCCTATTGATCTGCAGCTCCACAGAAGTAATGAAGAAGCTCTGTGATCAATAAGGCCAAAGCGTGTCTTACCCAGAACCTGTTCTGCCGTCCGCTGAGGATGTGGCCGGCCGATTCCCCAGACAGCATCGGGAGTGCGAGCAGCCTTCTCTGTGTCTGTGGAGATTGATTTCTCTTGGCATAAACATAACAAATGAAACCCTGACGACTTTTCTTGCTCTGAAAGCCAAGAATATATCATGAAACACGCAAGAACACAATTTGCAAAAAGAAAAAAAAAAAAAAAGAAAAACTATGTATTTTAACCTCAGTACATTAGCTCCTCCCCCATATTTAATCAGGATAATGTTTTACTCCTCAGCTCTTACGATGGACTTCTTTCTTTTATATCCACTCCTACCCGCTCCCCACCAAATTCAGGTTGGTTTCACCAGTCTTAGAAGGATTTTCTGTTTCAGCAGTGAATGCAAAGCACAGGTAGGGCAATCGCAGGCTGATAATTCTGAGTAGAGCAAACATCATTATCTTATCCTCTAGAAAATAATAGTGTGGAATGAGATAAGACGCTGGTAAAACACACAAACAGCATCCGGAAATATGGCAGGCACCACCGGGCAGCATTTGCTGGGGAAGGAAGAGCTCCTTGCCCCAGATAAGTAATCTTGATTGCTGATGATTTCAGCATTTATCATTTGCATTTTGCCCTGAAACCAGTGGACACCACCTGGGGCGGATAGTGATCCGTTGCTGTGCAAACGCATCCTGCTGCACTGAACAGATTGGCTCGCACCTGTAATCTTAGTACTTTGGGAGGCTGAGACCGGGGGATCATGAGGTCAGGAGATTGAGACCATTCTGGCCTAAATGATAAAACCTTGTCTCTACTAAAAATAAAAAATCAGCCGGGCGTGGTGGCTCAAGCCTGTAATCCCAGCTACTGGGGAGGCTGAGGCAGGAGAATCACTTGAACCTGGGAGGCAGAGGTTGCAGTGAGCCTGGTGACAGCGTGAGACTTGGTCTCAAGAAAAAGACGAAGGCTTTTTCAGGACTAGCCCTACGCTGACCCGTCACCACCCGGTCCGGAGACGTTGGCTGCTGAGGCTGGCTGGGTGGTGGGGGGACGGAGGGTGCGGTGGGACATTAGATTGCCAAGATCAGCAGGGACCAGATCTTGAAGGAGTTTGCCTGAGGGCACTGGGGAGCCACAGAGGGATTTTTATGAGCAGAGGGAAGTGACCAACCCAGCAACTTTGAAGCTGTCTCCTGCCACCGTGCAGAACTGCAGTCCTCAGGTTGCTTCTTGCACCCCTGAAAATACTAATGATGGTGCAAACAATGATGGCGAACACGCTGGGCCAGACTGTGCTGCAAGTTTTGCAAGTAGCAACTCATTTAATCTTCACGACACCCCTGTCAGGGAGCTCCTGGAATTCTCCCATTTTACAGACGAGGAAACAGAGGCACACAGAGAGGTCCCATGAGACAGGTGCCTATCCCAGGAACCACACTCCCTTGGTCTGGAGTGGGATGACACCCTCTGTTCTCAGCTCTCAGGAAAGCGTGCTGGATCGGAAGCACCTGAGTAAGGATGTCTTTCATGGAGGAAAAATAACCTTGACTCTGTTCACATTTGTGTTCTAAGAAGCCCATCACTTGGGAAAAACATGATGGTTAGTAATTTCATGTGCATATCTTCCGAGGACAAAGATGGACCCAATTTGGAGAGTGGAGTGGAAGAGGGGCACTGTAGAGAAAAGGGCAGGAGGATGGTGCAGCCTCGGGATGGTGGGGCTGGC